TATCCCAGATTTATCTCAGGTTATCCTGGAAGCACATTTTAAATTTTCGAATATAATTAAAAGTTCTCATTGGGCATGTTACTCCACAAAGTACAAGATATTGTTATTTGAAGTCTCAATTATAAATACAGTAGTTAGTAATAATGAGGAGTTATTAAACTTTATTCACCTTAACAGTCACTATTATAGACTTTATACCGATGGCAGTAAGGGTTTGTCTCATGTTCGCAGTGCTGTTTATGATCCTCAAATTCAGTTTTGTCAAAGCTTTGAGCTTAGTCTTTTATGTAGCATATTCACAGCAGAGGCTTATGCAGTTCTTGAGGCCCTGAAAAAAATTTCATCAATGCATTACACAACCTATTTAATTTTGACTGACTCTTTAAGTGTGATTAAAGCATTAGAGAATATTAATTTTCATTTCAAAACAAATTATCTTTTAATTAAGATTCGAGAAGTTTTATTTAATTTAAAAAATAAAGGCATTTCAGTTTCTTTTATGTGGATCCCTTCACATAAAGGTATTACTGGCAATGAAATCGCTGATAGAGCTGCATTTGATGGGATAAATTGTATAAATGTATCTAATATTGTAAAGGTACCTTTTACGGACTGCTATGCACTGATTAGAGAAAACATAAAACATGTATGGAAAGACTTCTGGAAGAAAGACCAAGAAGAAAAAGGAAAGTGGTACGGTACTATTCAATCGGACTTACCTGTGAGACCGTGGTATGACCAAAAGCAATACAAGTACGCCAGACGAGATTTTATATCTACTATATGCAGGCTTCGATTCGGACATCATAGAACACCCGCACACCTTGCAAGACTCAAACTTGATGCAAATGACAAGTGCTTGAATTGTAACGTCTTATGTGACATTAGTCACATAGTGTTGGTATGCAGTGACTACAACATGCAAAGGTTGATTTTAGCCAGTGAACTAAGTGAAATTGTAGATAATGTTTCCTCCCGCCGCCTAGAAGATCTACTACGTGATCCAAAGTGTTTAGTGCCGTTATACAATTTCATTAAAAATACTCTGGAAAGTATATAATAACATAAAACCGAGTAAATTAAAAGACTTGGCTTAAAGGACTCGTATCCAGGCCATAAACTCCAAAAAAAAAAAAAAATGCAATCCTATTTACGAGCATTTCGCTCAGCCCGTTTTTCCGTTTAACAAGCTTTGATTATTAATATAATAATCAAAGTTAACAAGATGGTTAAAGATAAACGACTTTATTGAAATGCTGGTAAAATTCATTTCACGTTGACAAGAATTTCGTAGTGCACAATCTTGTTGTCTATAAGATCTTTGGTTACCAATGTTTCACCTTTGTAATAAAATAATATTTGCTATACACAAGTCTACAAACTACAGTGTAATTCTACTACAATTCTATTACGACACACGACACCTCTGACCGGCGGATGCTCGGCCATTATGAATTAGTAGATTACGAAATTTTAGCAAAAAACAATGAAATCGTGATGGAATGACAATGTTTATAAAAATAGCAGAATTGGGGCCCTGGGCCCGTTTCGAATGGTTTTATTAACTCAATACCTACTGTGACTCAATGTGAATAGATATGTAAACATTGACCATTGCGAAAATAATAATCATAATTATTGTAAATAGGTATTTGTGAAATAAAATTACGGAATTGTTTTTTGGCACAAGAACTGAGCAACTGAGTGTTGCCACAACAAACGTAGTTCCAATTCTCACCGCATGAGAATCTCTCTTGCCAAGATTGTAGTTAATATTTGTTTCACCTATTTCTAGTGTTGTTTTTTCTTTAATTTATAACTACATAATTTTGTGTAGGGTACATGCCTACATACAAGTTGGGAGTATTTAATTTAGGAATGAATAGTGGCAATAAAAAAATTGTGGATTTTCTCTTTGGGGGTTACCCTGGAAACGTTTATAAACACCGAAGCTTTCTCTCAGAGAAAAGTAAAATGTTAAACCCTGATGGAAATGGCTATGTGCATGTTACTTGGCCAAGCAAAAATGTCCCACATGGAGGAATATTTCATACTCGCGTAGCGGAACCAACGGACAGCCAGCAACTATTGCTTAAGGGTACGAACATTTTATATAGTTCTGTTTTTCTTCAATAATTTTTGCTTAATGAAACTGATAGTTTTTAATATTTAAAGTATTAACTTCACAATCTAATTAAGTGGGTAGGTATCTATAATTTTATAAGATACTAGCGGCCCGCCCGCCGCGCCGCTTCGCACGGCACGGGTCCAACTATCTCGCTATCAAAGGGACACTTTTTCCTAATCTTCCCTTCTACTTTTTTTAATATTTTCTGTGATAAGAACCTTCTCCTGACAATAACATACACCAAAAAAAGAATTAAGTAGTAAAATTGGTCCAGGCGTTCTTGAGTTATGCGCTTACCAACACATTTTGCGATCCATTTTTATATATGTATATATTATAAAGAATAACTCGTCTGAAACGAAATACCTACAGTGGTGTGTTAGAGCGAGACAAGTACTTGTTTGTGAGAATACAAGAGGGAGTATTAAAGTAAGTACCTAGTAGGTACTTGTATACTCCGTCATCACTAACATGTATCAAAAAAAAAGGTACCTAATCAAAATATTTAGTAACCAGCACAGAGTACATTTTAACAATTGGTAACCAGCTTTATTATCTTGTTCTATAACCTGTGCTTTATTATTAACCCTGCTCAGAAACGCTAAACGCATGCGCACAGCGTTGTTTATTGTGGACCAGGACTATTCCACTCTTGCTCATGCAGGTGTCGACAAATAATAACTATACTCGGAATTTTAATTCCATTCCAGATTTGACAATTTCAGTGTTGCAACGTTATGACACGCAATAAATAGTGACGTTGCGAAATTATTCGATGTGGAAATCGAATATTTCTGAATCGATTCCTCTCGTTCATAAATTTATTCTCGTAAACTAAGTTTATCAGGAAATAAAATATTTTGGAACCGATAATTTAGTTTTTTCGATCTGAGACTTTTCTTTTGTAATTGAGTGTGAAATTAATAAAAAATGTGATCATGAAGGAACGTGACAAACAAAACAGACATTTTGTAAATTGTCGCCGTCATCGCTATCGCTATCGCTGTTACTTTCTGTAACAGTTATTTATTTATTTATTTAATAAATGGTGAATCAACAGCAGCTACATTATACAATTTTAGCAGAAAAATAGTGACATTGAGCCACTTACAGATTCACACGAATAGTGCCAGAATAGTTAACAACTAAGACCAAATTAAAATTTTAAATATAATCAAAACAGTAGGCACACCGCAAGAAAATTATATAAAGAAAAAATGATGTAAACATATTAAAAAAAACATAAATTAGTTATTAAAAAATTCTCCACTTATCATGGTTCTTGCTTTTCTCAGGCTTGTACAAAAGATATCTACATCATGCTTGCTACTGATGTCGTTAAAGGTACGACAAGCTCGACACAAAAATGAGCTCTGCCTGTAGTTGCTATTTGCAACCGGGGGACAAAGAGGTGTGTGCTTCCTAAAGGATTTCGAGGGAACATTGAGAGACAACTTTTCAAGGAGTTTAGGGCAATCAACCCTACCGTTTGCTATGGATAGGATATAAGTAACGTCAGCTATCTCACGACGTTTATAAAGTGGAAGAAAGTGAAATTGTTTGCAGAGTTTATGTTTAAGTTTAGTTTATTATGAATTGTGTCTGTGATTTTTATTGTCAATTAACATATATAGCTTACTTATTTTTTCCTCTTCTTTGAAAACATGGGATACACATTTAGACCATTCGGTAGCCGTAATTTTTTGAATGCCTTCCTGAAACTGATTCACTGATTGTTTATCGATTTTTGTGTTCATCATTACACTGTTATATGTGGTATCATTATTTCACAAAATGACAGTGGTCAATGTCAAATCAGGAATCGAATTAAAAGTCTGACTATAGTGATTATTTGCTCAGTGTTCATACAATGGCGACTTTTAATAATAGTGCCTGGTATTCACGAGAAGTGACATTACCGATAACAACTCGAGGAATAGGTGTTACTTTATATGTATATTATCATACAAATGAGTGGAATTTAAGAAATAAGTCTAAATTACCTAACATTTATTCTTCTTACCGTGCATTGTTAGGTATTGTTGAGCAGAAATTTGCATCGAACTTTGGGCTTCCTCCTAATTATGATGATGTTTACAAATACAAATACTGGTCTAGTGAAATTTATTGTAAACTTCCTTCACCGTTACATAAAATTGTCGAGTCGATTGGTATAGTTAATTACAATAATGCAATTTATTATCCTGCTGTCTCCAAAAGTACTGTAATAGATGGTAATTTTGTGCCAAGACCGGAGAACATTTTACTCTCTAACCTGCGAGACACAGTACTGGCATTATCAGATACAAACGACTCGGAAGCTGCACTACTATATAGGAAGTCTTTTTATCGCTACAATTCTATACCAGCAGCTAGATGGAACCTAACAAATTACACCATTTTAAATCCTGACGAAATTATACCAGACGGCTATGATATAGATTCATTCCATAAAGACTTAATGAGTTTACTATTCTTAAAGAGTCAATTATTAATTCCCACAGAATTCTATTTGACTGATATAAAAAATCGTAATGGGAAACTATCAAGTCTTATGTGCACTAAAATGAATTTAAGAATACCAGATTTAAAAGAAGAAAATCCTACAAATAACTACTATCGTAAGCTCACTCTTGAATACCGCGACGACAACTTATTTTATAGTTCAATACCCCTGTCACCCAAACAGGCACAGATTGGGGCTGCTTCCCTGCTAGGAGAACTTCCAGATAAAGATACATGTCCTCATCACAACTTTTACCTACTACGCTCAGAACAAATCAGTCCATTTGTATACCATATACCATATTGTAATTATTCTAATTACATGAATATTTAGTTATATTACTTTTATATATATTCAGTTCTGTTAGAAGAATCAAAGATTACTATCGCTCAGCAAAAAAAATCTGCTCTGAGACTCCGCGATGATAAGGAAAGAAGAGATGATTCTGAACTAGTGATTCAAACGCCTGTGGTCCGTCCACGAACATCCCGTAAGCGATCACTGTCTACCATTAGAGACTCTGGAGCATTTGATGGAAACGGGTTAGTTTTTTATTATACCATAATAACATTTTATTTCTCTAAGAATTTGGGTTTATATAATTTTAAATACTATAATAGGTATTATATAATTTGTATACTTTTTAGCAGATATTTAATAATATGTAATAATTATTTTGTCTCGTTATTAATGTGAAAAAGCATATACCTACCACAATTTTGAATTTTGTTGTATATTTGAGAAACAGGGAATTGAATCTTGCACCCCTTGCTTGGCAGTACACTCTCCACCTATAAGTCAGTTTGGAAAGCTTGTTAATGTGCATGTGTATCTGTCACAGTAAGATAGACAAATCCGTAATATATTTATATCCCCAGGAATATAATTGTATACCCTAACATAGTTATAAGAAAGACTTTCACTCACTAGGAATATAGAATAAACAGTTCAAGTTCAGTGGTATACTTACATATATTACTTAAGTAAGTTTTAGTGAAATAGCAACAGATTACTTTGTATGATCCTATACCAAATGAAAACTTGCCACCGAGAGAAATATGGCAAACTTTGTCACACTCTGATAGCGTTAAATAACTTGTATTTACAATGTTCATGTAAAAATCTAATAGTTATACACTGTTTTTTTCGTACAAGATGTGCCAGTAAAAAGCATTCAGTGCTATTTCATTCTAGAAGTCATGATTCCTCTTTTCCTCCACATAAAATAAGGAACAACCTTGTTGATTAGAAATAAAGGCAACTCAAAATTAAAAAAAAATAATAATATGTTGCCTTTCTCTAACTTGTTTTATGTCAGCGAATATCATCATAATTATGACTTCTTCCCAGGGTAAGGCAAGAGAGAGTGTTAGAATCTTACTGACTAAACCCCCCCCCCCCGTTCCTTCTCCTGCTCTGGGCCATGGCCGCGGTGACTAATACCTAAACTAACCCGCAAAATGTTACGGAACTTAGATTGTATTATTGTAGATATTTACCTTTTATACTATAGTTATGTAGTTAGTTGTAGTATGTAAAATCCGTATTATTTAAATATGAAGTTTTATTAATCTTTATTGGATAATGTTTGTTTTTGACAAGGGCACGGACCCCGAGACCGTGGAGATTGTAAATGATCAAATAAAGGGCGTCCTCTGTGGTGGTCTATCGGCTCTTTGAGGCGCTACGCGCCGTACGCTCGGGTCTGGTTCTGGTAGGGCAGCGAGCTACCCTTACTCATCGTCCGCAGACCCGCGCTACGGTGGCCGGAGATCATCTCTCGACCCCGACGCTCGGAATGTCGCCTACTGCGGCGGCTGGAGCGTGAGGAGGATCGATCCCTGTGGGACACCGCGCGACATCTCTCACCGATTCTACACGCCCCGGTGACCGGGGTAGATGACGGATGAGATAGGCAGGCACCCGATGATACCGGAGTGCCTCCAGAATGCAGCTCCAGAGCAATGAGTTGAAGGCGTTGGCGATGTCCAGAGACACCGCCATGACGACTCGCCCCCTGGCCAACACAGTCCCCGTCGTGGGGTCCCTCACGCGCATATTGGCGTCCACCGTGGATCGCCCTCTGCGGAAGCCGAACTGGCCGTCCGCTAAATCCGGCCCCCTTCCAGACAGGTGCGCGACGAGGCGGTCTGAGATTATCCTCTCCAACAGCTTTCCTACCTCGTCGAGCAGCACAATGGGCCGGAAGGCGAACTGATAGTCTGCAGGACGCCCCGGCTTCTTCACGAGGACCAATTTACCTGTCTTCCACGACAGTGGAACCTTGGGGATTCCAATCCAAGGCTTGCTTGGGTATGTGTTGTTATATGTTATAAAACTATAGTCAAGTAAGGATATGTAGATATTATTGTTTAGGCATATAAGCTAGGCTATTGCATTGGGTACAAAACCTGTAAAAATAGTCTAAGTTTTGGAAAATAAATAAGTAAAAATAAAATAAAAAAAATAAAAATGTGGCCAGGAGCGTGTGCCCTATCCATCCCCACTTGCGGCGCTTGATCTGTCGGTCGATTGGGCTTTCGTGGCATTTCTCCAAAAGCTCTATGTTGGAGGTTGTCTCGGGCCAGTAAATTCCGAGAATGCGACGCAGGCATCGGTTAACGAAGACTTGAAGTTGACGTGAGATGTCTTTGGCTATCTTCCACGTTTCGCACCCATAGAACAGTACGGATTTTACATTGGACCCGAAGACTTTCAGCTTAATCCTTCGGGTCAGTTTCCGTGACTGCCACACAGGTCTCAGCTGCGCGAATGTAGCTCGGGCTTTTGCGATCCTTGAAGTGATGTCCTCTTCAGTACCTCCAGTCTCTGACACGACGCTCCCGAGGTAGGTAAATTTGTGGACGCGTTCCGCTGCCTCTGTGTCAATCAGCAACGGTGTAGGATTCTTCACACCCGTTCTAATTTATTTGGTCTTTCGCGTGTTAATTCTTAGGCCAGCTTTTGCCGCCTCCTGCCGCAGGTCGTCCAGTTTTGCTTGCATGTCGGCGTGGGTATGACTCAGCAGGCATAGGTCATCGGCGTAATCCAAATCTTCCAAGCAAGTTGGATAATCCCCATTCTATCCCGCGGCGCCGATTGTGAGTCGTGCGAAGCATGATCCCATCCAGAACGACCAAGAACAGAAGCGGCGATAAGAGGCAGCCTTGTCGGACACCCGCGTGGACCACTATGTCATCGGAGATAAGGGCATCATGTGACACTTTACAGGAATAATTCCTATACATGCTCTCCAACAGCGATCTTTGGCGGAACCCCCAAGTCCAGCAGACGGGACCAGATGCTAGACCACTTCAATGTATCAAAGGCCTTTTCGAAGTCGACAAAGGTAAGATAAATCTCCCTTTGCCATTCTGTTGCCCGCTTTAGAATGATACGAAGAGTGTTGATCTGGTCCGTACATGATCGGTTCGATCGAAAACCTGCCTGCTCCCTGCGTAGAAGAGGATCCACGGCCTTTGACAGTCTATTCAAGAGAATCATGCAAAAAAACTTTTGCGGGAACAGAGAGCAGTGACTAAGATGTCCTTTCTTAGGTACTGTGATTATAAGCCCCTTGTTCCAGTCATCAGGAAACTCCTCTAGCGTCCAGATTTTTTCAAAAAGAGGACGTCGACAGCGGAGGATAACCCATCTGTGGTCGGGGGAATAAAGCCCCAACCACCTCCGGCCGGTGACTCTGAGTCAGTGGGGGAGCCCAGATGCGGAGCTTGTCACGCACCATTCGGTAGGGGTGTCCCCACGGGTCTCTGTTCAGAGTCTCCAACATCTCCTCGCGGGCCCGATTGTCGGCCCGTTGGATCTCCACCCTTAGGGTGGCCTTCGCTGCCCCGTACTCTTCGTACAGCTACGCCTCTCTGGTTTCAGCGTCCAGAGGGCGGATACGGAACCTGCGGTGCCTAGTGTATCGGCGTCGCACCGCGGTGCAGTCACCGCACAGAGCAGCTAGCTCCAGCGACCACCAATACACCTGGCGCTTGCGGTGGCCCGGCTGGACCCGAGGCATCGCATTCACAAATCCGGGATATGGCGGTTTCACCCAGGCCTGCACAACTGCGGCTTCCAGGAACAGCTCCCGATCTAACTGCCTCAGCGCCCAGCGCGGGCCACAGGGGGCCTGTCTGACTGGCTCGTCTTCGGACTCGGCGGAAACGTTGAACAAGATATACATGTGATCGGAAAACATCTTCACCTCCTCCATGACATGCTAGTCGACTACGCGCGATGAAAGAGCGGGGCTGGCAAACGGAATGTCCACCACCAACTCGCCCCGCATCCGCACGCACGTGGGGACAGAACTCCGGTTCAGCACAACTAGTGTCTCCAGGGCCCAGTTTTCGACCATCCTACCTCGGGCTTCAGCGAGCCAGGAAACCCAAGTCATGTTATTAGCATTGAAGTCAGAAGAAAATACGCATTACAACGGCCACTAATTGAGCCTCTCTACAAGGGTATAAAACGAGCGACCCAGGTAAAATGTGGGTCATTCGCTATTCAGCCTTTGAAGTGAACACACGTGAACAGTTACAGCAAGAAAAATACCCCAGAAGATGGATACTACTGCAGCTGAAGCCTCTCAAGTCATTGCACTACTGCATTCAGGGATGCGGCAGTGTGATGTTGCTCGGCAGCTGAACTTGAGTCGTTTTGCCGTTCGACGAGTGTTCCAACGCTTCCAAGAGACTGGTGGCTATATCCGAAGACGTGGATCTGGAAGACAACGGTGCACATCCGAAAGAGACGATCGCTTCATTGTTACGACGTCTTTACGTAATCGGTTCTCCAATGCTGTTGAGCTGCAACAACAACTGCGATCAGCTCGCAGAACTTCTGTAAGCGTGTCCACTATTAGAAGAAGGCTGCAGGAGAAGAAAATTGGAGCTCATAGGGCTGCTACAGGGCCAAAATTGACTGCACAGCATAGGAGAGACCGGTTGCAATTTGCCCGTGACCATGTGGATTGGACAATAGATCAATGGAGGGCTGTGCTCTTCTCGGATGAGACGAGGGTGTGTCTATTCTGCAACGACAGGCGTCGAAGAGTGCAAAGAAGGCAAGGGAAACGATTCGCACAAGCCTGTATTCAAGAGACAATGGAATATGGGGGTGGCTCGTGTATGTTCTGGGGCGGCATGTCAATCGACGACAAAACGAACCTTGTGTGTGTTTCTCGGACTGAAAGTGCTCGCGGACAAGGGTCGCTGACTGCTGCTCGGTACATAACAGAGATCTTAGAGGAGCAGGTTGTCCCTTATGCTGGTTTTGTTGGCAGTGGGTTCACGTTAATGCATGATAACGCCCGCTGTGACACCGCTTTAATTGTAAGAGACTACCTGCTAGAAGTTGGAATCCCTGTTATGCGCTGGCTGGCGCGAAGTCCAGACCTGAGCCCTATTGAGCATCTTTGGGATGAACTGAAACGGCGAGTACGGGGACGTGATCCTACCCCTACCACTCTTCACGACGTCCAAGATGCCGCGGTTGCAGAATGGGACAATACATTCCGCAAGAGACTGTTGTCACATTAATCAGGTCCATGAGAGAACGCATGGAAGCAGTAATCAGGGCCAGGGGGGGTGTGGGGTAACACTAGGTTTTAAGTTTTTTTAAAGGACTTTGTTGTAATTTTTACTGATAAAATAAAAATTTCCTTTTTAATCATTTGCATTAGCTTGCTTTTTTATATCCATGTAAACAAATAACCACATCCATTGATTTATTCTGAAATTTAAATAAATTGCCTTTCCAATGATACTTAATAATCATATGTCTACCATTGATTAATAGTGTTAAAATGACTTTGAAGGGAATTTATAAAGAGGTGCGATTTTTGTGACGCCGAGTGTATTAGTGTAGCTGTAGATGTTTAGTTGTGTTTGTAAATATAGGGGTAGGTATTGAAAAATAGTCCAATAGTAATCAAATGACACCTCAGACAGAGACGTGCCTAGAACTTAAAATCAGAAATTTGTTTGTAACCTGATCATCTCACTCAATTTTAAAATGCTCTCCAAAACATAAAATGTATATGCACTCATAGATTATTATTATTTAAAAGACAGCAGTGACAACGCAGTGGTGAATAAGTTCATTTTCTTTGTTACTGTTTGAATGTTTGAGCGTAAGTAAAATATTGTTAATTTTAAATTTGCATCAAAAAAGTGGTACTCTTTAAATGTTTTAAATTTTTCAAAAATGTTTGAGAAATAATAAGCTTAAATACGGTGTATTTTTATTTTTTTTATTTAAATTGTACTTACAATATGACTTTTGGGTCATACAAATATTTATAATACTGAACATCCTAACCTACATAGTGACATAAGTATGTCACTGAACATGGACCGTTTGATAACTATATTCATAGTGAGATAACTACACTCGCGAGCAAAAGTATGGAATCACTTACTTGGAATTGAATCCTCGCGATCTTAAGTTCTTAATAACTAGTTAAGAATAATAAAAATGGTACCATTTAAAAGGTTAAACTGTTAACTTTAAATTGATACCAAATTCATTTAAATCACACCGGTATTTAGGAGCTATCCCGGATTGAGTGAAGGAGTTAGGAAAACATAAGGATAATGGAAAAAATAATGAATGAAGAAAACAACAAAAATTAATTAATAAAAATTTTATTTGGCCTTAAAATTAAGATTTAATATTTTGTGTTCCCTCCCCTCGCCCTAATAACTGCTTGAAGGCGGTTCTTCATTGACCTAATCAGCTTCTGTATCGATTCTTGCGAGATACCTTCCCACTCCTCTATCAAAGCCGATTTCAGCTCATTCACACTTGGAGGAGCAGGATTTCTGGAACGAACCCTCCTCTTCAGTTCATCCCATACGTGCTCAATGGGATTTAAGTCCGGGCTGAGTGCTGGCCAGTTCATTGTGGCGATACCGACTTCTTCGAGATATTCAGTTGTGACACGGGAAGTGTGACAACGAGCGTTATCGTGCATAAGGATGAACTCATCGCCGATATATCCCGCATAAGGAACGACATGTTCCAGCAGAATATCGGAAATATAGCGGTCTGAAGTTAGACCGCCTCCTCGTCCCCCGCGAGGCACGAAAACAAGCTCAGTTTTACCGTCGAAGGAAATGCCGGCCCACATCATACAAGAACCACCCCCATAAGCCACTGTCTCAGCGAAACAGCACTGCGCAAATCGCTCCCCAGGCCGCCTGTAGACCCGACCCCTTCGGTCGCTGCCGTGCAAACACATTCTGCACTCGTCGGAGAACAGAACTCGCCTCCATTGCTCAACCTCCCAATCAAGATGGGAGCGAGCAAATTGAAGGCGTGCTTGTCGGTGACCTGCCGTCAGTTTCGGGCCTGTGGCAGGCCTTTTTGGAGTCAAATTAGCTTGCTTAAGTCTTCGACGAACTGTCCACTCACTGACAGCTACCTCACGAACATTTCGGAGCTCCTGTTGGACGTCGACACCAGTCAAATGTCGATTTCTGAGAGAGGTTGACACGATGAAACGGTCATCTCTCTCCGATGTGCACCGGCGCAGTCCAGATCTTGGTCTCGGGATAAAGCCACCAGTCTCCCGAAACCGTTTATAAACTTTCGAAACACAGGACTGGCTTATGTGGAGCTGACGTGCGACAGCCCGCTGGCTGAGCCCTTCTTGCAATAGGGCGACGATTTGTGCTGCTTCTGTAGGTGTAGTATCCATTGTCGTCCAAGTTCAAGGGTCTAAAGTAGCGGAGATGTGTACTGGTCAACGTGTGAAAGCCGACTAATAAAGAAAATCCGATAACACGTGCTTTTATAGGGGGTCAATAGGGCGCAACTCGTGACGTATCAAACAATTGAAACATATCTTTTTCCTTACTTCTTCACGTAATCCCGTATAACTTCTGAAATTATGGCGTGATTTAAATGAATTTGGTATCAATTTAAAGTTAACAGTTTAACCTTTTAAATGGTACCATTTTTATCATTCTTAACTAGTTATTAAGTACTTAAGATCGCGAGGATTCAATTCCAAGTAAGTGATTCCTTTTATTTTTGCTCGCGAGTGTATATTACAGCTTTATCTATCTTACTGCGACATATCTCTTATCCCTGACAAAAAATCTAAATAAAAATAAATAAATGAGTGTGTTAGAGCCATGCTTCGGCACGATTGGGTCGGTTCGACCGGAGTGATACCATGGCCTCAGAAAACCGGCGTGAAACAACCACAGCGTTGTGTTTCGCCGTGTGAGTGAGGTTACCGGAGGCCCAATCCTTCCCCTGCCTCAATCCCTCCTCAAATCCTAAATCTCCAAATCCCTAATCCCTAAAAGGTCGGCAACGCACTCGTAACTCCTACGTTGCGGGTGTCCATGGGCGGCGCTGATTGCTTACCATCAGGTAATCCGTCTGATCGTTTGCCGACGTATTACATTAAAAAAAAAATAATATATGAAAAAATAAATACTTAATTATGAACACATAACACCACAATCACCCAGTAGTCAGTAGTATATAATATATATTTATGTGAACAATCAAAAAAGTATTTGTCCATTGTGAGAATTGGGTTTAATATATATATTTATATAATTAAAAATGGCTGTATTTTCAGATATCGTCCATTGAAACGTGGTGAAGACAGGGAAAAGTTGAAAGAGAGATTGGCTTACTCAATGGCTTTCGGCAATGATCAACAGCAGCCACCTCCTGTTTTCCCTGAATTGAAAAAACAACAACCCAAATTGCCTACTGCTAAACAAAAGTGGAATGATTGTAAGTTTTTTTTAAACCAACTTCCCAAAAGTATGTTTGTTCGGCCATAATTTCGATATTATGACATGATTTTTAGGGTTCGGTAGTAAACTAGGCCTCTCCGTCCTCGGATAATCTTAGTGACCGTTAGCACTAGAAAGCCAAAATTACGCACCAATATGAATTATATCAATAAATAAAAATTGGAAAATTTTAAAAAAAAAAAACACTAATAGTTGGTCCGTGCAGGAATTGAACCCAGTTTGCACGACAGCCAGTTGCCCAACCACCGCGCCAACCGTGCAGTACAAAATATTTTATAAGGGTCAGCGTTAAATATAATTATAGGGTCATTCAGGGTACTCAATTAGACGCACACGAACTACAAAAATTTCGGTAGGTACAACAAAGTCTCCATATATGTACATAGGTAAAAGCAAAACGTCATAAATATCGGTACAGTTTAAAATAACTGTCAATGGTTTTGAGACACTGTAAGTGTTCAAAATATTGAATACATTAGGAATATGAACTTTAAGACTTTAGATTTTAAGTATTATTTATGTCACTCGTCTGTAGTACCAGTGTTTGGATACTATTGCCACGGTAATTAATGAATGGAATACTGTATAGTATTCCAACTTTATACAAACGGACGAAACGCGTGCCATACAAGTACGATAACGTATGTATACTCGTAAGTAAGTGTGGGAGAGCCATGCTTCGGAACAAATGAGTCGGCTCGACCGTAGTGATACCACGGCCTCACAGAAAACCGGCGTGAAACAACCACAGCGTTGTTTCGCCGTGTGAGTGAGGTTACCGAAAGCCCAATCTTTCCTCTCCCAATCTCTAAATCTCCAAAACCCGAATTCCTAAAAGGTCGGCAATGCACTCGTAACTCCTCCGTTGCTGGTAAGTAATCAGCGCCGCCCATGGACACACATGGGCGGCGCTGATTGCTTACCATCAGGTAATCTGTCAGCTCGATTTCCAACCTATCATCACACTAAAAAAAAGATACGATAAGATAGCGTTTCGGTGCCGGGGGTACCTACTTGAGGGTACAAACTAGCGGTTTTACCGCAGTGACGAACGGACGCGCGCGCTTTTTTTTCTTAATATTGAGCTGATTTGGTTTCATAAAATCGTCACGAATGCATCCAAACATACCTAAGCTTTTTTAAATTATCTGGAAACTGGAATTAAGGACTACAAAAATTAATTAACTACTATTAGGTAGGCAGGTTCATAATGTTATTTTTAATGTTAAACAGTTTTCTTTTATTTCACAAGGAAAAAGGCGTTTGATTAAATAAAGCGATTAGAGCAAAGTTGTTGATGCTAGAGACAACAGCTAGACTTATAATATACATAGTCTGGCCATAAATACTGTTACAATTAAAAATAAACAAAATATTACATTTGAATTTGGAATCTGTCATTTTTATATAATTTTTCATTGTGTTTTCTTATTTTGGCGCCAATAAATTGTTTTATTTTGCGATATTAAAATGGAGTGGGCTGATAAAGAGAACCGAATCGCTGTGATTGCATTACACAAAGTGGGTATGGAGCCAAATGCAATTTTTAAAACTCTCCACACGCTTGGCATTAGTCAAATGTTTGTGTACCGGGCTATTAAATAGGTACAATGAGACCTCCTCTGTTTGTGACAGAAAAAGATCTGGCCGTCCACGTAGTGTTCGTACGAAAAAGGTGGTCAAAGCAGTAAGGGAAAGAATTCGAAGAAATCCTGTCCGAAAGCAAAAGATTTTATTTCGGGAGATGAAGATAGCACCTAGAACCATGAATCGGGTATTTTAAAAGACGACTTAGGACTTGCAGCCTATAACAGACGCACTGGACATTTTTTAAATGATAATTTAAAAAAGAATAGGGTGATAATATCTAAACAACTACTGAAGCGGTACGCAAAGGGAGGTCACAGAAAAATTTTGTTTACGGATGAGAAATTTTTTACAATTGAGCAACATTTTAACAAACAAAATGACCGTATTTATGCCCAAAGCTGGAAGCTTCTCAATTAGTCGACAGAGTGCAACGTGGGCATTATCCGACATCAGTGATGGTTTGGTGGGGTGTTAGCTATGAAGGAGTGACTGAGCCATACTTTTGCGAAAAAGGTATCAAAACATCGGCACAAGTGTATCAAAATACCATTCTTGAGAAGGTAGTTAAGCCCCTTAACAACACCATGTTCAATAACCAACAATGGTCCTTCCAGCAAGCAAGACTCGGCGCTGGGTCATAAAGCTCGGTCCACGCAGTCTTGGTTGGAAACGAACGTTTCCGACTTCATCAGAGCTGAAGGCTGGCCGTCGTCTAGTCCCGATCTTCTGGATTATGATTTATGGTCAGTTTTAGAGAGTAGGGCTTGCTCTAAACGTCATGATAATTTGGACTCCCTAAAACAATCCATACGATTGGCAGTGAAGAATTTCCCCATGGAAAGAGTGCGTGCTTCTATTGATAACTGGCCTCAACGTTTAAAGGACTGTATTGCAGCAATGAAGACCACTTCGAATAAGCTTTTTATATTGTATTAAACTTACATACTGTAAAATTAATAACTGTTATTTGCAATAGAAAAAAATGTTTTTTTATTTGTTACAGTATTTATGGCTAGACTAGGTATAATATAATAACTATTTATTCCTTACACTGCTGATTGCTAGCGACATTGATGAAAGCGTTCTGAAACTACTGAACAGAAACACTTCTTGACAATATTATTGTATTATACCTAACCTATTACTGAATATCAGCCTAATATTAAGGCTATAAGGCTATCAGCTAATATCAATCTCCTTCAATATTTCGGTTTATATCGCCATCTTACCCCATCTTCTGGTTAGTCAACTGCCAGTCATCTGGTTCTGACCAGTAGACATGTAAAATTAGTTTATCCTAATATATCAATGAACGTATAAATAAGTATTATAAATATTGTAGGTATTCGTAATATGTATCTGAATCTATTACGGATATTTCGTTACACTTCAATGTCACGTATTATTTTTTTTTGTCTGTTCAGCGATTACTCCGCCATTTATGAACCGATTTCCAAAATTCTTGTTTTGTTTGAAAGGTAATACTCCCCAGAGGGTTCCATTTTCATGAAGGCAGGATCTGATGATGGAATCCTAGGAAAACCGAGGGGAACTTTTGAAAATTGTAGGGGCGAGTAGTGCTTTTGCATGTTTTTTCAGTAGGCTTTTTACAAAGCTACAATTTGCCGATGGTCGAACTCGACCTAATGATGGAGCCAGAAGACAGTCGAGGGATTTCCTTGATTATTTGGAGTAGTCACCTTGTGTTTGGGCTTGAATGATTCGTATTGGTGAGCACTTAGCACCAAGATTGACCGTGACTGCCATTAGGGGCTGATGATGAGAACGAAAGACAGCTCAGGGATCTGCTGAACGGTTTACAGTAACTACATCGTGTTTGGACTTAATTCATTAATATCAATGAAAACTTCGCACCTACACGGGTTACAATGTAGTGATGCAGTAAATCTGATGATGGAGCCTTAAAACCGTCGAGGGATCTCCTGCACTATTTGGAATAGTTTCCTTGTGTTTGGGCTTGAATAATTCGTATTGGTCAGCACTTTGCACCAAGGTTGGTCGGGACTGTCATTCAAGATTATAAAATGGTTATTAATATTATTTACTATTTAACTAAATGAAAACATTTATAAATTTCTACAAAGAAAATTTATATTTTGCTTTTCAGTTTACTTTTTGAAGTCGGATTATTTTTGTTATTAGGAATTACAACCTGGTTGTACCTATGTCATGCAATTATTGGATATCGACGAAAATAAAAATACTGACACCGGATGTTTGATTTTATTAAATATGCCTTATTCAATCACATTTCTAAAGTTACAAATTCTGCGAAATGCGACTCGACTTGCTAATACGATAGATACTCTGCGCCACACATTTGTGATAGATAACTGACTCATTCCATGAATATCAACTGCATCGGCTTGATCTTTTTGTCGTGTAAAGGCATGGCTCTAGAGCTATACAGACATGGATGTCTGCTGGGAGACTTCTAATGAAAACATCATCATTTGGATCTTTGCGAAATTTATTTTCAAAATAATTTAAAAATCAATTTTAAAACACGAAAATGATCGCTTATTCACTCGTTATACTCGGCCCACGGGCTAAATAAGTCTTGTCTAACATTTCATACAATTGTCACAATGGATATACTGTAAACGCGAGAAATGTCTAAAGTTGATTATTTGTAATGAGTCTGCTATACCTCTGTTCCTCTGTTATAACAGGCCCCTGCAAGTTGGCCTCTCGGTCGCCTTCCAAAGGCCTGGCCTAAATGCACTGATCGATGGGCTAAGCAACATCATAATATCATAAATATTTAAAAGGTTTTTTTTTCTTTTTTTTATGTGAAAGGTCGGCAAACGAGCAGACGGATTACCCGATGGTAAGCTATCAGCGCCGCCCATGGACACCCGCAACAACAGAGGAGTTACGAGTGCGTTGCCAACCTTTTGGGGGTTAGGGATTGGGGAGGGATTTGGGCAGGGGGAGGATTGGGCCTCCGGTAACCTCACTCACACGGCACAACACAACGATGTGGTTGTTTCACGTTGGTTTTCTGTGAGGCCGTGGTATCACTCCGGTCGAGCCGACCCATTTGTGCCAAAGCATGGCTCTACCTCACATAGCATATTTCTTTTTTTAATAATTTAGTGTTAATAATAAATCCGTAAAAAAAGAATAGGTAACACGGTATAGGAGTGAGAGAAAGGTTTCTTTTTGTAATGAAGCTCGGAGCCACGTCAACACGTGAACGTGAACGTGTACATGTCACAATTTACAAAATGTCCGAGAAATAAATACAAAACTTATTTCTGTCAATCGATAAATGAAAATCTTAGTGTATGACAGACGTTTAGACCATTTTGTTTGTAAAATTCCGATGTATTTCAGTGGTTACTCAAATTCGAGAGCGGTCCGAGTGGCTTGCAGAAATGGAATATTTGGGACAAGCGGGTCCACATCGAGACATTATAAAAGACCAGATAGCTGAAAGAATGCGTGCATTGGATGCTTTGGGAATTGACAGCGAATGCTCAACTCCAAAGTCAAGTGCATCAGGATTTAGCACAAAAACCTCCCAATCGCTAGACTTAAAGAGTCATCGGAGTACCTCGACGGGTAAGTGAGCCTGCTTAACGTCAATATTTACATTATCAACTAACAGTTTATGCGGATTAACTTAGTTTACTTAACTAAGTAATGACACCCAAACGTTCCTTAACTAAAATTATTTTTTATGCTACAACTTTTTGTGTGCTGCATAGGTTGTTCATTGAATAGTCTCTGTGTGCAGTAAACGATGTTATACAATCGTTTCGTATTTTCAAAGCATAAGTTGATTCTGGAAATCGTTGTAAAGATTATATTGTTTTACAGTGGTTACGAAAATGTCTATGAATGGCAATAAAAACCAAATTGCGCTGAATCGTAGATCGCGGAACAAGGAAGAAAATGTGACAGCGTATTCCCAACTTTCGCCACTGCAATACTCACCGAGACGGCGCCAATAAAAACATTGGACCATGTTATAATGTTATTTTTTGTTTATGCGAACTAAATACGGGACTAGTACTTTATGTGTTCATAGAGAACTGCGAATTTCATAACCTTCTACGAAAAATCGTGTAATCATAGACTTATCCCCAAAAGACCGGCAATGCACTCGTAACTCCTCAGGTGTCGTGGGCGTGCCGTTGCTTTTTCTGAAGAAACTGTTAAATATTCGCATAAGCAAAAAATATGGTAACATATTATGTATAAGTTATTATGGAAATTGACCATAGTAAGCTTTGATTCTTTTGACATTTCTTTATAATTTTTTATTAATTTTATTCTTCTTTAATCTTTATAAAACTATTAGCTACCTATATATTAAATACATTTGTATTCATTAATTAAGTTTTTGTCGCTAATTTTAGGCTATTTCACTTTTGTAAGCACTTCTCTCTTCTGAAACATGTGTTTTAAAATTGTAATGACAAGTGCACTTAACCATTTTGTATGAAATTTTCAGGGGTAGAAAGAAATTAATAAAATTAGTTAACCCTAAAACCCGTTTCTATATTTCAGAAAGCCATAGTAGGTGAATTGATTTGATTGATATTTTAATCAAAATCTATCTATGCATTTGTATTTTGTTGGTTTTTATAAAAGTGTGGATACCTGTAGGTAAACATAAATTCCATTACTAAAAAATTTGTATTTTTTTCTTCTTTATTCTTGATTTTGGTCTGCAACTAAACAGCGCTATCCCCACTCCCTAGTACGCCTGGTGGGGAACAGGCAGTTTCTCTAACTGGTGGTCACACAGGTGAGCTCGGAAATTTTTAGCTATGACAAGTTTAGTAACTGCATAGTTGACCACTATTTACTTATTTTTTTATTCAGAAAAGGACTACTTAGTAACATCTGGTTTAAGGTTGATAATCGCTTGACGGAGTTTTTGTACGGTGTAATGCGTGTTTACTTGACGTTGACGATGACTTTAATAATACCTTAAATCTAAAACCGAACTGTGCGTCGTTTAACGCACAGTTCGGTTTTAGACCAGGACTTTCGACAGAATGCGCAGTTATGTCTCTCAAGCAGACTGTCAGGTATTACACAGACAGGAGCATGCCTGTGTATGCTACCTTTCTTGATCTCTCCAAGGCTTTTGACCTGGTTAGGTATGATATTCTTTGGCGTAAATTGAAATGTTCAGGTGTACCAGGTGAGCTAATCAATTGTTTAATTATTGGTATGATCACCAAACTAACCAGGTCAAATGGCTTGGCGAACTTTCTGATGAGAACAGGTTGGAGTGTGGAGTGAGACAGGGGTTAACATCTCCTGCCCTTTTCAACTTGTATGTGAATGGGCTGATTGATGAGCTGAGCAACAGTGAGAACAGAGCGGAGTGGGGTGCTCAATTGACGGTCACTGTATCAACAGTATCAGCTACGCAGATGATATGGTTTTGCTCAGCCCATCGGCCCAAAAGCGAGTTAGTGGTATTTCAGGCCAGGGGTCATAAACTGGGGGATGTGGCACCTGTGCTGCTTAACGCTGTCGCTCTTCGAAGAGTGACTGAATTTAAATACCTTGGCCATGTGGTAACCGAGGAAAGGATTTAAAAGACGATCGAGATATAGAAAGAGAGAGGAGAGCGATGGCGGTCCGCTGTAACATGCTGGCACGCAGATTTGCAAGGTGTAGTTTACTTGAATAAGGCATATTTAATAAAATCAAACATCGTGTCAGTATTTTCGTCGATATCCAATAATTGCTTGACATAGGTACAACCAGGTTGTTGTTCCTAAAAAGGCAAAACAACCATCGCATTACTGTTTCCAAATAATAATAATCTTTTCTTTTTTTACAAGAACATATTTATATTCACAACAACAAACATAGGATAAAAATTAATATGTGGCATAGAAATGTTACGAAATATCCGTAATACTAGATACCTACAGATACGTACCTATTACGAATACAATATTTGTAATACTTATTTGTACGTTAACATACAGGGTGTAAAAAGACACTTAACGAAGCCGAAAGCCACGTATTCTACCCATTATTTGGATCATTTTTTTTCTTTAAGACCATAGCTCCACGGGTTCTCTAGATATTGAAGGTCCAAGATGCATTTTTACTTTTGTTTTTTTTTTGCGCAATCGAATTCTATGTATTATTACAAAACTTTTTTTAACATTACCTGAATTTTCGATTTTTCTAAATAAATTACGCATTTGAAGTTACGAACAGTAGGTAATGTACGTAATAAATAAATGCAGACCCGCACAAAAAACATCGTGCATCTCAGTAGGATTTTTATTTTACAGAATTGTTAATGCTAAGGGTGGAGTACCGTCGCTACCTTCTGCGAGGCCGTGATGCTCGCAAAGGAGGCGGCGGAAAGAGAGAGAGAGGCTGCCTTCTCTCTCCTCTTCCGCAGCAGACGCACTAGACGTCGTAAGGTGGCCGCAGGTCGGCCACCGCAGGGCGCGGCCTGTGGACGACAGACTCGGGGCGTCTTGTCGTCCGACCAGCAGCCGCCTCGAGGCCTGCTGCCTTATTCAAGTAAACTACACCTTGCAAATCTGCGTGCCAGCATGTTACAGCGGACCGCCATCGCTCTCCTCTCTCTTTCTATATCTCGATCGTCTTATAAATCCTCTCCTCGGTTACCACATGACCAAGGTATTTAAATTCAGTCACTCTTCGAAGAGCGACAGCGTTAAGCAGCACAGGTGCCACATCCCCCAGTTTATGACCCCTGGCCTGAAATACCACTAACTCGCTTTTGGGCCGATGGGCTGAGCAAAACCATATCATCTGCGTAGCTGATACTGTTGATACAGTGACCGTCAATTGAGCACCCCACTCCGCTCTGTTCTCACTGTTGCTCAGCTCATCAATCAGCCCATTCACATACAAGTTGAAAAGGGCAGGAGATGTTAACCCCTGTCTCACTCCACACTCCAACCTGTTCTCATCAGAAAGTTCGCCAAGCCATTTGACCTGGTTAGTTTGGTGATCATACCAATAATTAAACAATTGATTAGCTCACCTGGTACACCTGAACACTTCAATTTACGCCAAAGAATATCATACCTAACCAGGTCAAAAGCCTTGGAGGGATCAAGAAAGGTAGCATTCACAGGCGTGCTCCTGTCTGTGTAATACCTGACAGTCTGCTTGAGAGACATAACTGCGCATTCCGTCGAAAGTCCTGGTCGTCCGAACTGTGCGTCGTTTAACGCACAGTTCGGTTTTAGATTTAAGGTGTTTCTTAAGTTGTCTCTCAAGCAAGCCATCAAGCACCTTAGCTGTGGTTGTAGCTAATGATATTGGGCGGTAGTTGCTCTTATCAGAATTATCTTCAGTCTTGTTTTTAACTATAGGCACTACCACCGTCTTCATTCGCTCATTTGGCATATAGGAATGCCTGATACAGAGCGTGAACAACAGTCCCAGCAGCCTCGGCAGGTGTGGCCCCGCATGCTGAAAGTGCTCGACGCTGAGGCCGTCGTGTCCGGGTCATTATTTATTTATGGCTTAAAAGGTACATTTTACATTATAAAAAGTATAAAATGTCCAACAAAACTGTACACACAGTTTGTCTGTTGGATCAGATTTCAAAAACTAACTTAATAGAACCTATAGTAAGTCAATAGGACTTACTATAGGTTCTATTAAGTTAAGTTTACAATAATAATAAAATTGATAATAAATGCGATGGACGCAAATTAATATATTAGTATATATTAGTATTATGTATGTTAAGTTATATAAGTAGTATTAGCAGGTTAATATTAAGTACGTAAGTATGAAAATCAAATATTAGATAGATATAATCGGAGTATAGATATAGCATTTCCCTCGAGTCATAGGTACCCTTAATTATTAGAGCAACGTAGTTTGCTGTAACAGGCTCTGGAACCGCTGCCACAGCGACCTCCGCATCCCTGGCCTGTTCACCTCTTAGCGGAGACTCCACTTGAAAGTGACATCGATAAATTTGAGTTAGGTACTCAAGCGTCGTACGAAGCAACTGGATTCTGAAGATTTGGTGATAGAAAGAAAAATGTACTTAATGATTTAAGTTATTCAAAATTGTTAAGTGTAACTTTTGTTTTAGGGCACGAGCGTGGCAGATATTAATAATGTACATTATTAATATCTGCCACGCTTACTTAGTCTGGCCATAAATACTGTTACAATTAAAAATAAACAAAATATTACATTTGAATTTGGAATCTGTCATTTTTATATATTTTTCATTGTGTTTTCTTATTTTGGCGCCAATAAATTGTTCAATATTTTGTGATACCTATTAAAATGGAGTAGGGTGATAAAGAGAACCGAATCGCTGTGATTGCATTACACAAAGTGGGTATGGAGCCAAATGCAATTTTTAAAACTCTCCACACGCTTGGCATTAGTCAAATGTTTGTGTACCGGGCTATTAATAGGTACAATGAGACCTCCTCTGTTTGTGACAGAAAAAGATCTGGCCGTCCACGTAGTGTTCGTACGAAAAAGGTGGTCAAAGCAGTAAGGGAAAGAATTCGAAGAAATACTGTCCGAAAGCAAAAGATTTTATCTCGGGAGATGAAGATAGCACCTAGAACCATGTCGCGTATTTTAAAAGACGACTTAGGACTTGCAGCCTATAAGAGACGCGCTGGACATTTTTTAAATGATAATTTAAAAAAGAAAATTTAAAATGACCCCAGCACTTCAGTTCGTGCAATTGAAATAGCAACCAGAGTACCGAAAAGTAACGCTCATCGAATTTTAAAACGATACGAATTTCATCCTTGTCATTTGCAACGCGTCCAGAGTTTCTTACCACGAGATTACGCACCTAGAATTGATTTACAATGTTAGCGAAAATTCGTGAAGATCCGGAATTCCTAAATTTTTATGGACCGACGAATCAACATTTAAAAGAGACGGGTATTTAAACTTACACAACCTTCATGAATGGCACGTCGAAAATCCGCATTTAATGCGTGAAGACCGATCCCAATACAAATTCACAGTAAACATGTGGCCTGGAATTTTAAACGGACGAATAATTGGACCATGTGAGCTAACTTAAAATATAGATGGCGCAAACTATTAGCATTTTCTTCAAAATGGTTTGCCAAATTTGTTAG